AAACGATAAATCTATCCAGAAAGGGAAAACAAGCATCGGTGGCCTATCTTTCATCGAGAGGAAAATGAGGAGTTGGGCACAAACAGCATTGGAAATGCACACGCTGACCTGAAAAACTTCCCAATCTGCAGGAAATGGTGAGGAAAAGCCTGTTGAGGGAATGGAAACAGCTCAGTTGACACCAGCGTACAGAGCTGTGAATGAAGTTTCCAAAGGCAACTTGAGAACCAGATCTCTTCTGGGTAAAGCCGCTGGCTGTAGCCATAAAAAGCAACTCTCAGGCAGGGTTGGCCTAACATTAAATCAGCAATAGTCTAAGTTACTCTAGGAAACTGATTACAACCTGCACGAAGACAAAATTAAAATGTAATATGCTCAGTGTATCCAAGAATCTAGTGATCAAGAAATCATACAATAATTTCAAATAAATAGAACTGCAGTAAAGGAAACAAAACTTGGAAAAACACAGTTTAAAAGCAAAACAATGTATTATTAGGACACTATTTGATATTCAACTGGCAAAATATGACATCTGGAGTTAGTTTCTGCTTCCAAGTGTACCCCCAAAATCACCAACTCATTTGGTCCTCTCAAAAAAGGGAAGCAGATGACCCTATTTCTACTACCTTGCACCCCAGGTATTCATTTACCCTCATGCATGGAATGCAAATTGCTACCAAATCAGAATTGTACTGACATCCGATTTTCATGGGTATAAACAACCATGAGGGATGAGGTATTGGAGAAACAGGCTCCAAGTCTTTATATTTCTGAAGTTGGTCAACAAGAACATAAAAGCTGCATCATCATACACATATAGAATGGGAAGCAACTGTCTAGGAAGGAGTACTGCTGAAAGGGATCTAGGGGTCATAGTGGACCACTAGCTAAATATGAGTCAACAGTGTGACACTGATGCAAAAAAAACCAAAAAACATGATTCTGGGATGCATTAACAGGAGTGCTGTGAGCAAGACAGGAGAAATCATTCTTCCGCTCTACTCTGCACTGATTAGGCCTCAGTTGGAGTATTATGTCCAATTCTGTGCACCACATTTTAAGGAAGATGTGGCAAAATTGGAGTAGCTAAGAGGGAAGACTTAAAGAATTGGGCTTGTTTAGTTTGGAAAGGAAAAGACTGAGACACGATAGCGGTTTTCAGATATTTAAAGGGTATCACAAGGAGGAAGGAGAAAAATTGTTTTCATTGGCCTCTGAGGATAGGACAAGAAGCAATTGGCTTAAGCTGCAGCAAGGGAGGTTTAGGTTGGACATTAGAAAAAACTTCCTCTCAGGGTGGTGAAACACTGGAATAAGATGCCCAGGGAAGTTGTAGAATCTCCATCTCTGGAAATATTTAAGAGCAGGTTAGACAGACATCTATCAGGGATGGTGTAGACGATACTGGGTCCTGCTATGAGGGCAGGGGACTGGACTCGATGACCTCTTGAGATCCCTTCCAGTTCTAGTGTTCTATAATTCTATGATCAGAGCTGAAACTCTGCATGGCACACTATTCCACCAACTCTCCCTGGAGGCCCCAACTTGCCAGCAAAACTAGGCAAAAAGTCTCAAATAGGTTGGGCATAAGGATGGAGTCAGCACTGAATGGAGGGATGGTTTGTCACTGTGCAGTGTCAATGTTTGCTTTTTAAACAAGCCATCATATGGAATTTTAAATTTATTTGCAAGGCTGGTGTTGGGTTACTGCCTACCATTTCAGGAGGTATTTTTAAAATAGAAAATGTCCAATCTGTGCCCCTCTATTAAAATCGTCTGAATTGAGAGTAGAGTGGTACTTATACAATTGTGAAGGGTACTGAAACAAACCAAATAAGAGTGTACAAAATCCCTTTCTCTTATAATAAATGGAACAGATGAAAGGAAGGCTGCAGTTTTCAATCTATATTTTGATTATCCTGAGATACTCATTTGAAACTATAGAAAGTCACAAGAATACATTGGCATATACCAAGATAATAAACACTACATCCCTTCCTGAATGGCTGAGTTACATTGCTAGATTTTCATATATTCAGGTTGGCTACACAAGCAGTTTCTCTCCCTTTAGGACAACTGGGGCTCACCTAGTATCTTGTAAGGAGTCTGGGAGAGAAAAATAGCATAAATATTCTATAAATTAATGCAAACCAATGAAAAATATAAATAAAATGTTTAATGTCTGTAATTTATACATAATATGCAAAACTTTTATCTGCACTGTGCATGTGCAAAAAGTATATACATTTTCTTGACAGCACCCAGAAAACAGTTAAGCTACCGTATGTAAGTTTTTACGCTATTTGTCACATTGTGTAAAAAACATTGTGCACAAATGAAACCCTCAAAGAAAATCATAGGCTAACACAGTAAGCACTCAATTACGCACTGACAATTCAATATTGCATCACACTCACCAGGATAAATAAAAGTCAAGTACATTCATCACAATTTAAACACCAGTCTCTCTCCATATATTTTCTTTCTGTGTTTTGGTCTCCTATATTTATCTCTTATATTTATAGAAGTATGTTTGAGATACTAGATTGAGTTTCAATTATTAAAAAACAAACTTTCCTGCACAAATTTAGGGATTACACAAAAATAATTCCAGACTCCAGTGAAGAAATTATTTCACATACATTGAAATATTTCTACTTTAAAGCACAGTACAGAGTTGCACACTAAGGCTTCCTGTGATGTGTTACCCTGACCTCCCGAGGACACTGCTGTGAAGTGTAAGTACAGCTGAACTGTAAATACAAAACATTTTCAAAAAAGTCTAATACAAAGTGCCCTTAAATGACTTTTAGTAATATAAGTAAAGAAATAGCTACTGTACTTGTGCAGTTGAAGTCTAACCTGGAAGGGTTTTATGAAAACTTATTTCAGACAACCAAGTTTAAAGTATATGTCATCTGTGATATCAGAAACAGACTAACCTTTATTTTTATAGACTCCTTCATTCATGAATAGATTTTAGACACAATTTAGTAAAAAAGGCACATCTTCAAACAAATATCTGAAAACCCAAACAAACATTTAATTATGAATAAAGTCACTAGCTTAAATGTAATCCTCATAAGCAGGAATAGGTGGTTGAGTATTTTTTGTTTTTTACTCCAAAGTCTTTTGAAGAGTTATCAGGCATTGATTACATTAACAAAATAAAATTAAGTATCTGGTAGAATAAACAGATTTTTGAATTTTAAGCTAGGATTTTTTTTTAAAAATAATGTTTTAGTATTTTTCCAACTGATTTACAAAGAATGCAGTAAATGTACAAAGACATGTTAATTAAAATCTAATTGTACAAAATTTGCAAAAACATTAGTAGCCCTTACCAGCTAGGAGAAAGTATTTCTTGGATGCTAAGATTACAAAGATTAATTACATTTTTATATGAAATATTAAGAACAAATTTTAAACCATGATTATTTTTGTGAGGGAACAAATAGAACACAAGATGTACTGTGCTTGAGAAAGACTGACAACAGAGACTATATTCCAGTCATCTTCTACAAGACAAACGACAACCAAGTCCTTTCAAGATTAGAGAGTTCAACAAATCTTGTAATAGTGATTAATTACAACATCACTGCCAATCAAATGAGTTAAAAAAGGATAATCAGGATTTTATTTCACCTATTTTTTTATCCAAAAATGCAGATTTAGCTCTAAATTGAATATTTTGGTGGTGTCATTTTCTAATATACACTTCAAAATTTCAGTGGATCAAATAGTGTATTTTTTCCCAAAGATTTTTCAACAATTCAGATGATTGTTTGTGACTAATATAGTTATCTGGGATGACCAAGATCTAGAGGTTCAGTTCAGTTTAAAAATTAAAAAAACAGTAACTTCGTCAAGGTCCCAACATTCAGTCATCGTCTGAGTGGATAATGGTAGAACGACAGCAAACAATTTCAACTGGTCCCATTAAGAAGAGGCAAACATACAACAACACATAAATAATCAACCAATGAGGTTACAGTATCTTGCATTATCTCAAATATATTGAGCAGGTACAATAAAGATGGACCTGTTTTTAAGTTATGCAATATACCATTTTTAAAAATACAGAGGTACACTGGTAGTTACCTTCATTTGGATATCTCTGTTAACTAAAACTACATAAACCTGTAACGACTATCCAAAGGGTTCATTCATTTTAGCAATGAGTTGAAAAGGTGGACTGCTACACCACTGCCAAAACCAGTTTATAATAGGGACAGTACCTCTTTTTTCCTTACGAGTCAAGTCACCTGCTAACCTGGTCCTTCCATTTTGATGCTAGAAATGGTATTTCTGGAGGCAGCAATGAGACGAAATACTCTCTGATGGAATAAGTTCCCTTCTTCCTTGTGCGTCTTCTCGTTTTGCATGCAATTTCTCTTCCCCCAACCCTTACGTATTCCTTAGCCAGTCTCTTCCACTTACCCCAATAACCTCTTAGCACTATGCCAAATGCTCCTGGCATTAGAAGTTAGCAATAGTTTAAGTATCTAATGGCAGAAGTACTACAAATGGTGAGCTAAGGCTTGAAGCAGAGTATAGTAGTGATACTTCAACTTTGCTGAGATTATATATCATAGTAGCCTGGGGGATACAAAGTAATGCATCATTAAGTTAGGACTGTGAACCTAGAGTGCAATCTCTGCAGATTTAGATGAACCCTGTGCCTATTATTTATATGCTTATTTACTGAGAGGAAACTTATCTTTGTAGTGCATAGTTTTAAATAAAGGTGCAATATTGGCATCAAAATAGAGGGAACTCTCTTGATACACATTACATTTAAATTTTTGGTTTGCTAAAATTAAATCAGAAGCATTCACTAGTTAATTCAGAATGACAATTGCCAAGTTATTTGATATCACAGAGGAATTGCAAGTGCATCTTGGCTTGATCAGAAAATATCTGAAAATTCTGTATTTCACACAACTTAACAACCATGTACTCTTCCAGACTTTGGAACTGCTTGCATAAATAGCTGCTTCATATTTTAAAACCCTGATTTTTAATGCAAGAGAAAACATAAGTGTACTGTACATTCAATATGTAAAAACAGCTGAAATTGTAACACCGATTTTAAAATTCACAAGCCAAAAAGTACAAGTTATAGACAAACACTGGAAATTCCTATTTTTCAGGAAAATTTTTTATTATCTATGTTTTACTGAAATAGGTTGGCATTGACATTCCAGACATAAAAACTCCAATGCAATCTTTTGGTCACACTGCTAAATGCAAGGTATAATGAATGACATGCATTTTTTAGAAATCAAAGGTTCTTCTGATTATTTAATTACTATTTTTGTTAAGACACAAGGGCTCTCAAATCAGAAAAACATTATTTTATTGCTTTAAACATCAGTGGCAATGGCTGAAAGTTACAACCAATTTGTTTTGAATAGAAGATATTTCCATATTTTGAGGGATCCTAACTCAGGAGATTTTAGACACACAAAGCAGTATCTTTATCTCTCAAGAATAACCAAGGAACACAAATGGAAGTCATATTTTTCACATGTCAATGAAGAATGCAAATCTGATTTACTGTTGTATGGGCCCATATATATCTTGCAAACCAGTGCATAGTTAGTCAATACTTCTGCTGGCATTTTTAACAACTAATTTAGTTAATGGAAACATTCATTAATAGCTTTTATTCCAAAAATCTGCATTAGTTTCTTTTTGTAAAAAATTAACCCTGGCAAGTATTAAAAATAAATATTTTTAGGGTTAAACTAAAGCCTTGTTTTTCAATGCCCTTTCCTCCCTTACATATTCTCTTGCTCTCCAATAAGCAAATAAAAACTAACGTACTATAACAGCTGATATATGGAGGCAAAAGGGTGACCAGGTCAAAGAGAACAAAACCACTGTAAATCAGTTAATGTGTCCTCAGCTTCTTTGCCTGTCTCTTACGCTTCAATTCCTCCTCTTCACGTCTCATCTCTTCTAGGTCCTCTTGAACACCAAGTCTCAAACTGTCAAATAAGAGAAGATATCACATCCTTTACACAATGCTACCCAGGAGACATTAACATGTACAAGTCCTGCTCTCCTTTTCACATAGAAAAACTAAGACACACAAATTCAGAGTTTAAGTTAAAGTAATACATACACCATGTATTCAAATATTTGTAGTTTGGCTTAAGATATTGCATTTATTTTTAAATGAAAGCTGCATGGTGTCACGTTATTGAATTGTGAGGGGAGCAGCCGGGTCACTGCTACACCCATGGGGGGGGAGGTTGTTCACCCCAAAAGTGGTACAAAGGGGCCATGTGAGGGGTCAAACAAAAGCTGCTCTTTATATATCTGTATAATGTCTGTGTGTGGAGTTAGGAATCTGTACTCTGTATGGAGACTGGAAATCTTTCTGAATGTGCTTGAGTAATGGGCTAGGAATGTTTGCCTGTGGACATGCTAATGAGTGAAGCTCCAGCTACAATGGGCCTCTGAAGGCCAAAGACACACCTGGCCACTGGCCATGTGACTCCCTCCTGGCTTGGAAGAAGCCAGGAGGGGGTATAAGTAGGCCATGTGGTCGACTCCATGTTGTCTTCAGATCTGCTTCTGACCCCAGATGCGGCCTCGCAGGGAATCACGAGCCGGGAAGAACTGTGGACCCATCCTGCTACAGGATGTGCAACAAGGATTTTTAAGCCAGCAGCTATAACATCTCTGCTAGAGCCTGCATCGAGAACTGGGAAACTCAATGCATGTAATGTATGATTCTTTAACAACCTTACTCTCATGCTTTTCTTTCTTGTAGTAATAAACCTTTAGATTGTAGATTCTAAAGGACTGGCTCAGCGTGATTTGTGGGTAAGATCCAGACTGCTTTCTTGGAACCGGACAGAACTTGTTCGGGGTAGGTGGGATTGGGTGCTAGGACCCCCCACCTGTGTATGAGGCCCGGGGCCATCTGGGGCACGGATATTGCTGGGGTGTCGAAGGGGTTTTGCTCGTGAGGCTTCAGGCAGGCAGCTGAAGCGCTCTGTGGAACTGGTTTGTGGCCTGTTTGGAAAGTTCACCAGTCGGGGGGCTGCAAGGAGTCCCAAATTTGAGCAATTCGTCTTGAGCGGACACCCTCAGCTGTGTCCAGACCTGGCTCTGTCTGTCACACATAGTATCCAGAATTTTAAGTTTGATGTGTCAGAAAGATCTCTCTTCACTTCAAAACTGCACAATATGCCTAGGATATTTGGTTGGAAGCATTTTGAGGCAACGAGAAGATTTTCCAGAAGTGCTTTGCAATTAATACCATTCGTTCCTTAGACTTTTAAGGGGAGCATCTACTACCTTTAGAAATATTTTTTCCAGTAAAACAGGGAACCAGGTGATCAACCCTTGTTACAGGGTACCAATCAAATAGCTTGGGAAGAAAAGCTGTTGTGTAGCATTCAGTAAAAGACTGGACACTGAGGCTATGTCTAAACTACATCCCTCTTTCGAAAGAGGAATGTAAATCAGGCAGATCGAAAATGAAAATGAAGCGGAGATTTAAATATCCTGCGCTTCATTTGTATAATAGCATCATAGCATTCTTTTGAAAAAGGGCATTTCGAAAGTGAAACCTCCATCTAGACATGGTTCTTTTGAAAAAAAAAACCCTTATTCGAAAGATCCGAGGAGTACAGGATCTTTCGAAAAAGGGTTTTTTTTTCCCTGAAAGAACCACATGTAGATGGCAGTTTCACTTTCAAAATACCTCTTTTCGAAAGAATGCTGTGACATGATTATGCAAATGAAGCGCGGGATATTTAAATCTCTGCTTCATTTGCACTTTCAATCTGTCTAATTTACATCCCTCTTTCGAAAGAGGGATGTAGTTTAGACATGCCCTTACTCCAGTGGTCCCCAACATGGTGCCTGCGGGTGCCATGGCGCCCTCTGGGGCATTTATGTGTTCCTGCTTTGTGACAGCCTGAGCCATTCTTGTGCCCTGGGCTGCCGGCGCATGCACGGCCCCCGCACTGGGCACACGGCGCATGCATGGCCCCACCTCCGGCAGCCCCAAATGTTGGGGCTTAGTTCCTCCAACTCCAAATTGCAGGCTAACTTTGTGAGAGGAATTGGTATACATGGGGACGCAATGAAGACCTACTGGCCATCCTTGGTAAGAAGCTGCAAGTATGTAATATCTTACACACCTTTTGAAGGACAATGTAAAGGCCTAATAATGGAAAAAGGAAACTTATGTAACTCTGCCTATATGAGTCCCAGTACTCAGCAATTGGCGTAAAACAATGAGTATGTTTTATAAATGCACCACATTCACTTTCAAAACTACCAGACTCTTGGCCTGTATCATTTTCACTGAAGAGAAGCCCCAGCTTTACATAACTGAAATTCAAAAATCTGCTTTCTTTTTCATTATTTTACACTACTATATTTTGCATTTTTGCGTCAGGACAATGTTTATATATGCACCTACTAGTCCATTCCTTTTTCCAGCTCAAGAATGAGCAAAATTCTACAATCTTTAAGTGATAAACTACAAGGGTTGTTAAAAATTTTTGACTATAAGACGCTCATGGAAGATTTTTGCCCTTAAGTTTTGTGTATTCACAAAGTTTATATTCAGGGCCAAATTTAATTTGCCAAATGTGCATTTTAATTCAACTGTATGTCTTAAAGATTCTAGCAGCAAACAGAAGAAAACTCTTGCTATCAAAACTTAAATCTAATACATACCTCCTGGCCTCTTCTTTCTGCTGTTCTTTCCAGCTGCTTTCCATGTAACGTAAGGCATAATCACTGTCATCTTTATACCTGAAAGGAAACACTTATATTTAATCCAATAGAATGAAAAAATATTAGAGTTAATCTATACTAATACAAATCAACTGAATTATGAACAGGCATGATTTTTTTTAAAATAAAACTATACCCTATCACATTTCTCCAAAAAATTAAAATCAAGTTTTAATCCAACAAATAATAAACATACTTTAACTTAACCAAGTATGTTAACCAACATTCAGGAGTGAATTACAGAAAGCACGTCCTGTCCTATGCAGCACACCTGACACTTGTGATGTTTCATATCTGTTGCAGTGCAAACTATATCACACCTGCTCTCGCAGGTCCAAGTGTCCCTAAGAACACACAAAATGCCTAGTATTCTTCATTAGAAAACACATGTATCCATATGATTTAATCTTTGGATTAAAAGAAAAAGTTAAAAGATATAAAAGAAAAGTTCTTGACAGTATGCCAGGCTTTTTTTAGTCTATTAGAATAGTTTTACTCATTTCCTCACCTTGAACTATGATCGTTTAGTTACCCATCTTCTTGCCCATCCACCAAAAATGACAAATGAAAGTCAAGTAGAAAAAGTAGGCAACTGTTTCCTCCTTCACACAATTCAACAGTGTGAGGTGGTCACCTCTTGTGGTTGAACAATCATGATATTTTAATGACAGCCATACTGACTGGCAGAACAGCTATGGAGGAACAATTACAAGCAGAAGAGGATAATACGTTTGCTTCACAAATCTTCAAGTAAAAAATGTTCATCTGATAGTATTCAAAATAATAATTCATATGGTGGGTTATGTGTTCATGGCAACTCTATTAAAGTTGCCCCAATGTATCAAAGAAAATATGATTTTATCAAGACAAATGAAGTTTTTGAAATAACATTAAGTTTAAAAATATAGATTACGAAAGGAAGCAGTCTATGAAGTGAGGCAAATTATAGGTTTCAATTCTGTGCCAATGTGTGCATGTTTATTGTTCTATGCAACAAATATATCAAGAGATCTGACAAAGCAGTTAACACAAACTGAAGAGCTAGGCAAGAAGATCCTACAGTAAAACTCCAATTGTCCAGCATCCAGTGGTCCAGCACTCCTGATAGTCCGGGACCAACTGGAACCCGGAAGTGCTCCGGCCAGCCGGACAATTGGAGCTGCTCTGCCCCTGGCTTCCCCAAGTCAGCCGCTGGTCAGTTTCAGCAGCAGCTAACTTGGGGAAGCCGGGGGCAGAGTAGCTGGGGTGCTGCCGGGTTTGTCCCGCAGCACCAACCCTCACCTGAGTGCGCAGTTCCCTGCTGACCCCCACCAAGTCAGCCGTTGGTCAGTTTCAGCAGCTGCTGACTTGGGAAAGCCGGGGGCAGAGCAGCTGGGGTGCTGCCGGGTTGGTCCCGCAGCGGTGCCCTCTCCCACACTGCGCAGTTCCCCGCCGACACGCCCCGCTCCCTAAACCTCTCATAGCCCGCCTTCCGGTACTCCAGCATATCTGATAATCCGGCACCCCCTGGGTCGTAAAGGTGCCGGATTAACAGAAGTTTACTGTATAATGTTGAATACAGAATAAATATTTAACATTAGAGCTCCCTGCTACATTTCCCACTCCTCTGCGCCCTGGCTCCTGGATGAGTCTCCGCACACCCCCGCCACTCCCTGCCCTGGAGCGCAACCTTCCTATACCTGGGTTCTGTGATCCAGGAATATCCATGGTTCTACCGGACCATGAATGTTGCTGGACCAGAGAGTCCTAGTTAAGGGATACACAACCTGTAGTTCTTTTTTGAAACCTGTTAAAGTCCTGGTTTTCACAACATCCTCTGGCAAGGCATTTGAGAGGTTGACTGTGCACCAAGTGAAGAAAAACTTCCTTTTGTTTGTTTTAAACCTGCTACCTATTAATTTCATTTGGTAACCCCTAGCTCTTATGGGAATAAGTAAATAACTTTTCTTTCCACATCAGTCATGATTTTATAGACCTCTATCATATCCCCCCCTTAGTATCCTCTTTTTCTAAACTGAAAAGTCACAGTCTTTTTAATCTCTCTCCATATGGGACCCATTCCAAATCCCTAATAATTTCTGTTGCTCTTTTCTGAACCTTTTCCAATGCCAATATATCTTTTTTGAGACGAGGCAACCATATCTGTATGCAGTATTCAAGATGTGGGCATATCATGGATTTATATAGAAGCTATAAGATATTCTCTGTCCTATTCTCAATCCCCTTTTTAATTCATTCTAACATTGTTTGTTTTTTTTTGCCTGCTGCTGCACACTGCGAGGATGTTTTCAGAGAACTATCCACAATGACTCCAAGATCTCTCTCTTGAGTAGTTATAGCTGAATTAGTTCCCATTATTTTGTATGTATAGTTGGAATTATTTTTCCAAAGTGCATTACTTTACATTTATCAACATTTCATTTCATTTGCCATTTTGTTGCCCAATCACTTTAGTTTGGTGAGATCTTTCGAAGCTCTTCACAATCTGTTTTGATCTTAATTATCTTGAGCAGTTTAGTATCATCTGCAAATTTTGCCACGTCACTGTTTACCCTTTTCTCCAGATCATTTATAAATAAGTTGAATAGGACTGGTCCCAGGACAGAACCTTGGGAGACTCCACTAGTTACCTCTCTCCATTCTGAGAACTTACCATTTATTCCTATCCTTTGTTTCCTGTCTTTTAACCAGTTATCAATCCATGCAAGGACCTTCCCTCTTAAATATTCATGAAAAGACCTTCTCTCTCTATTAATAGACCCTCTCTTCAGAGATGTCTTCGTCCAATCCATGTGCTTCTCCACACCCGTCGGCTTTCCCCCAGCCCTTAGTTTAAAAACAACTTTTAAAAGGTCGTAGAGTAAAGCGCGAGCAGTCTAGTTCCATTTTGGTTTAGGTGGAGCCCATCCTTCCTGTATAAACTCCCCCTTTCCCAAAAGATTCTCCATTTCCTAATAAACCTAAACACCTCCTCTCTACACCATCATCTCAAACACATATTGAGACTCTGAAGCTCTGCCTGCCTACCTGGCCCTGTGCGTGGGACTGGAAGCATTTCAGAGAATGCTACCATAGAGGTCCTGGATTTCAATCTCTTTCCTAGCAGCCTAAATTTGGCCTCCAGGACCTCTCTCCTACTCTTTCTTCCCTGTGTCATTGGTACCTACAGGTACCACGACCACCGGCTCCTCCCCAGCACTACACATAAGTCTATCTAGGTGTCTCAAGAGATCCACAACCTTTGCACTAGGCAGGCAAGTCATCATATGATTCTCCTGGTCATCACAAACTCAGATGTCTATATTTCTAATGATTGAATTCCCCAGTATTAACAGCTGCCTTTTCCTAATAACTGGAGTTCACTCCCCCGGCGAGATATCCTCAGTGCGAGAGGATACCATATCATCTGGAACAAGGATCCCAACTATGGGATGGTTTCCCTCTACTCTAATTGAATGTTCTCCTTCCCTGAGACCTTCATCCTCCTTAACAGCACAGGGGCTGACTGGAGGTGGGACAGTTCTACAGTGTCCCGAAAAGCTTCATCTACGTACCTCTCAGCCTCCTTTAGCTCCTCCTTTAGCTCCACCCTGGTCTCCAAAGCCCAAATGCACCCAAAGGGCCAGGAGCTCCTCGCATCGAATGCACACATACGCCACCTGTCCACAGGGCAGGTAATCATAAATGCTACATTGGGTGCAATAAACAGGATAACCCCCACTCTGCTGCTGGGATTCTGCCTGCATTCTCTCTTTCAGAGATTATTAGATTATTGATAATGTTTTGGTTATACCCGATTTAAATAAAAACCTATCAGGATTCTTTTCATTTCCAACATTTAAAAAAAAATCCTTCTTACTGTCCTTAATTCTATTGGCTGGGGATGGGGCGAAGTAGCCCCATACTGAACTCGCAGGGTTCAGCCACGGATACCTGACTACAGAGGCCCTGCCCCCGCAGCCCTAACAAGCATGCCCAGGCTGCAGCTCAGCTATAAAAGCCTGGGGAGAGGCTCAGTCTGCGTTGGCAGCCGGAGGGGAAGGACACAGGAAGGGATCTCCTGACCAGCATCAACCAGCAACTCCAGGAGAAGCCAACGAAGATGTTGGGGCCAGTTGGGATGTCTCCGCGGTCGTCCACAGAGAAGTCGCCCCTGGGAATGTGGAGGACCCCGCGAGTATGTAGGAAGAGACCCTGTTAGACCATTTAGGAAGTGGCCCAGGAGCAGCCTCTCCCGCCCCAGGAACCTCAGCACATTTTGGTG